CGCCCGGGCGGGCGGGCCAGACAGGTGGGAATTCCCGGCCTTTTTCCTTTCTCTGCTCCGGGAAACTGCTGGATGGGTTGTGGGGTGCAACCTCTGCCATAACCAGAGCAGCTGGTTAAATATTCCTGTGAAGTGCAACCATAGCCTCTGTGCTGGGGAGCAGAGAGGATCAGTGGGAGAACTGAGCAGAGCCCTTTTCCAATGGGAATTATAAGCAAGATTTAAACAGCCGAGATCATGTGGCCTGTGCAGATGAATAACAGACTCTGTTTGCTCCACGGCAGGAGTGACCAACGGCTTTGGGAAGCACTTGGAAAGCAGCTCTGACTCCGAATGCGGCTCCGGCCCGGGCGCCGGGCCGGGGTTTGAAGCCCATGGGTAAGCACACGCAGCATAATTCACTCCCAGAACTAATCTACCTGTCTCTATAGTCCAACCTTAAAAACCCCTCTCAGACTGTTACTCATTTTGTGTGCCAGCGTCAAAGATAAAAAGCTGCTCGGGTCCCATCCTTTCCACTTAGGCTGTTGCTCCCAAAGCAGTGCTTCGTTTTTCCAACAAATGGTTCTGTATTACCCTTCACGCACCCCTTGAGTCCTGTAAGACCTCACGCCTGCCAGGTTGTCTGGACACTAAAAGCACAAGGTTCCCCATGCACAACCGTCCTCAAGAGCGAGGCTACAGTTTAATGCTAATTGCTTTGTAGAAGTTGTGCTGCAGCAGGGTTGGATCCCAGGAGCATTTTTTACATGAAAAGTTCACTGTACAGAGTGATCCTAAATACCAGCCCTCAGAAGATGATCATAATTTTGCAGCTGAGCTTTGATTAGTTGTTCACAGGGGACATGTTATTGAGAGCTGCATCGTGTCCCTCCTTACCTGGCTCTGCAGAGGGTCCAGTTTGCTGCAGCTTTTTCATATGTGAGAAAAGGAGACACATCTGAACTCGCAGGGGAGCAGGGGGTTTGTTAGTTGATGCTTGTGAAGTACTTTGAAGATGAGAAGTGGCATGTAAGTGCTTATTATAGTAATTGCAAGCAATTCACATAGCAAAAATTACATTTGGAGCTATGTGACACCCACAAAACAAGGAATTAAAAACAAGCTGATGTCTCAGGAATAACTTGGGCAATTATTCTATTTGGAAACAAATCTGTTTACTGCTTTTTCTCTACTTTTTCTTTGTTAACAGCAAATTTCCTCTGAATGGGCTGGTTATTAGGAGAGCATAAATAAAAAAATACCGCTAGGTATTAGCAAGTCAAAAACCAGCATTGCTTGAGATGAAGATGGTCTGTTTTCTGAAGTGTTTATAGTAGTGAAATAAAAGGGTGTTCAAGATGGGCTGATAGAGCTTGCCTGATACATTAAAGTCCTGTTACAGGGCTGCTCCTTTGGCTTCTGAAGTCTCCGTGCGGCTGCGTGAGCTCGTGCTAGTCACAAACGCCGCTGTGTCAGCCCTTTGGCACAAAATGTTTGATGCTTTTACCCTCCTGTTTCTAAATGGGTTTTCATTAAACCCTCTTCATTGCTCCTGGAACAAGCAGGATGGTGTCCAGCGCACTTACACCAGCACAGACACACTGATAACATTCTGCTCAAGTAGTCAGTGCTTTTTTCATGTCAAGGATGCATCAGTCCAGCAATTTTCTGGTGTTTAAAACAGAGCTGGGGAATCCATTTATTGGCTGTGTTTTTCAGTGCAAAAGATGTTTTCCTAACGCCTCCTTTTCCGTTTCTCTCTGGCAGTGGCTCGACGCCCCCCAAGCGAAGCCGAGGGAAGCCGGCCCTTTCCCGGGTGCCCTTCTTGGAAGGCATCAACGGCGGCTCCGATTACGGCGCCTCGGGTGAGGAAGCCCCTGGGGAGCTCCCCGCTTCGGCCTCGCGCTGCCGCGGGGCTCCCATCCCGCTGCTCCTGTCCCATGGGAGCTCCCGTGGCTGCAGGACGAGGCTGGGCTGTTGCATAAAGGGGGTTATAGAGGAGGTTGCATAAAGGAAAGGTTTTTCCTCCTCTCCCTCTCGCTGGTCACCTGAAGGTGCCTGTTGTCTTCTCAGCTGGGATAGTTCTTTGTAAGGATACTGCAACGCACACAGTAGATCATAGTTCTTGGAGGGGTCTCTCTGGAGATGACTCCACAGCCAGTGCCCTCCTGTGCAGCTCCACACTCAGCTCCTGTCGCCCTGCGGCCCACGATTGTCTTGCACTGCTGCTGTAAAACTCACATTAATGAGGATTCCTCCTTGTCCAGGGCCAGGAGCTGCCAGACATGAATAGTTATTTGTTCTTGAATCAACATCTTGCAACACTTTTAATTTATATTTGAAACAAAAAAGAGATAACTAGTAGATTTTTGTCCTCAAGAGCTAGCCGTTTCTTGCAGGGATTGAATGCCCCCAAAATATGTGACATGAGAGCAGTCTGCCTATTTGTATTTAGGAGGAATAAAAGGAACGCTGTGAACAACGGTCCAAATCAATGTCAGCTACAGCTTCATCAGCTCCATGGAGGGTGGATTTGGCTTGATGGAGCCTAATGGACCAAATGCATCATTCACATCACCTGGCTGATAGCTGTGATGTAGCAGCCGTTCACTCCAGACCTGAGTTTGATGAATATTTCCAATCTAAGGAATTCATCCTAGTGCCACAGGCGGGCACTGGCTTTGAGACTGGACCATGTATTAGAAGTCTGTGACTTTATCTTAATGTAGAACATGCCTGTCCTGGCAAAGAATAAAGAAGGGCTACACTTTCACCATGGCCAGGATAGATCCCGTTGCACACTAAAGTGTAGCCTAGGTTTATTGCATACGTGATGCTTATTTCATCACCGATGTGGGTAGATGCCAAGCGTGATGTGTAGTTACAAACAAGTGGCTTTTCATTTCGTTCTGATTCTTCATTGCTGCTCAGCCCCTCCTAAGCCCTGTCTCCTTGTGACCCCTTAGGCAGGACCCTCCTGATGTCCTTCGAGAACCAGGCCAAGCTGGAGCCCCTGGAGCTCGTGTGGGCCAAGTGCCGCGGTTACCCCTCCTACCCTGCCCTGGTGAGTGCTGGGGACGTAGCAGCAGAGCCAGGCAGGAAAACTCCCCCCAAACATGCTCTGCATGTATATTTTTTTCCATTTGCACAGGTGATTTTGCCTGTGCTCATTGCTCCAGAGCCTTGGAGCGGATTCTTAAACCATTGATCCCTTGGAGCCAGGGCGGGGGATCTCTCTTCTGTTTGCTCGGCAGGGATGAGGAAAGTCTCCCAAGTGAGACATTGCACACAGCTGTGAAATACACCCAGAAATACCTGTGTGAGGAAGAGCAGGAGGCCGTGAGGCTCTGCTCTGTTCTCTCTGTTGCTCCTAACCACTCAGCCTGCGAGCTGGGCCTTCCTGCCATCTTTCCATATAATTTCTCATGGCTGCAGCCATCCCCTTAGGAACTTTGTGTCTGGCTTCGCCCGGGACTGCCCCGGAGCCGCAGGGCTGGAATTCCCCAGCCGGCCCCTGGCCAAGCCCAGCTGCTGCCCCAAGGTGGCCGGAGCCCCCGGTGACAGCGGCTGCGTCCCCCGTGTCTCGTGGCAGCGGTGGCCCTTGTCACCGGTTCTGCTCAAAGAGCAGCGTGAAGCTGAGCGATGCCGTGCAGGGCAGTGGAAGTGGCTGCTGTCATGCAGAGCCACATGTTTGTGGCCTTTCCTTTTCAAGATCAGGTTTGTGGCTTCCTCAAAGTGTTGCCAGTGCCATGAGGGCAGGAAAGCTCTTCCAAAAGAGCCGCCCGAGATGGAACCGACCCGAGTGCTCTTAGTTGCAAAGACTGCGTGAAGAGGAAAAATTAACCTTCCGCACCGTTCTCACAGGGTTTTGTGCTTCAATTTCCTTTGTCACTAGATAATCGACCCCAAGATGCCGCGGGAGGGGCTGCTGCACAACGGCGTCCCCATCCCCGTGCCCCCCGTGGACGTGCTGAAGCTGGGCGAGCAGAGGCAGGCGGAGGCTGACGAGAAGCTCTTCCTTGTCCTCTTCTTTGACAACAAGAGAACCTGGTGAGTGCGAGGGAGGTCGCAGCAGTGGCAGAGAAGGAAGATTTAACAAAACCTTCGGTATATGGGACCGTGCAGGCATGAGTATCATGGCCATTTAAATTGGGGCTTTAAATATGCAGCAGCGTGTGACCAAGGAAGCCAGGCTGCTTTTCCCTGGTCCGAGCTGAACGCCCCACTTGCACAATGACCTTCCTCCTGCACCCGGGCTCACATCACCGCAAAAACACCAAGGCATGTAAAGAGCCAATTTCCTACTTAAAATCTGCAGTGAGTTAGAGCCTTTTCAAAGACCGAGCAGCCAGCTCTGCTGCTGCAGAAGAGATTTGCCCAAAATCTCCAGGGTAACCTTTTTGAAACATTACGTTTCTTCCATATTTAGAGCTAAACCAGCAGCCTGATTTTTCAGAAGTGCCGAGTACCGGCATTTTTTGAGTGAAGTTATTCGTTTTAGGATGGAAAAGTGTTAGGTACCTGCGTCCCTGGTTCAGGGCAAGAGAAATAGCACGGCGGTGTTAGCGGCCCTTCCCTTGGCCTGACCTGTGCTGAGGCCGGGACGTCGGTGGATGTTAGTGCTTTTTTAAGTGGCTGCTTCTTAAATCCCTGGTTGCAATTTGTGAGAAGTCTTCCCTGGGAAGTGGAAATTGGCCTCCTGGTGCTGGATCCAAGTCCTGCTGGCTTCAGCGAAGCTGCAGAGGCGGCAGCGGAGCTTTCTTGGCGCGGAAAACTCCCTTTCCGCCAGGGATGCTCCCGGTTTTGCTGCTCGGGGGGACACAGGAGTTTCCCCTCGTGTTCCTCGGTGGACTCCAGGGCTTGTGCGAAGCCGGAGAAAAATTGGTGCTGGTGCAAGCGGGTGTTTTGGCTGCAGATATTAACTTCCACTGTTAACTGGTGTGCTCAGGTGCCGCCGTTTTTGCATTTGTAGCACCAGTGTGGGGTGTTAATTATAAAGAAGTAAATCTCAAGGCTGTTGTGGCTCTAAAGGAGGAGATGGCAACCAGGCCGAGTCGGGGGACGTGGCTGCGCTCCGGGAGCGCTGGGGCCCGGCGCGGGGCTCGGGGCGCTCGCGCTGCTCCCCGTGCTCCCCATGTCCTCACGCTCGTGCTCGGCTCTGCCCTGCAGGCAGTGGCTGCCGCGGGACAAGGTCTTCCCGCTCGGGGCCGACGACACCGTGGACAAGCTGAAGATGCTGGAAGGCCGCAAGAGCAGCATCCGCAAGTCCGTGCAGGTGGCCTACGACCGCGCCATGATCCACCTGAGCCGCGTGCGGGGCGACCACCCCTTCATCACCTCCAACTATCTGTAGGGGACGGGGCCGTTCGCGCTCCCGTCTCCCCTCCGAGCCGGCGCCGGCAGGCCCCCTGCCTCCCC